TTTTTTTTTTGGTTTCTAGAATTGTCTTGATTTTTCCTGGATGAACCGATAATTGAGAAAAGAATAAAACAAGTTTTTCCATTGTGTTTGGTAAACAGAACGAATAAGATTTTAATGGCATGAATTACCATACCATATTATCATGGCGAAAATACACATACACGTGTAACTCAAACAACATGGGCAATTAAACGAGAATTAAAAGTTGAAGGCAGATTTGTTGCCACAGAAAAGTTAATTACCCAAAATTACGAAGCTACAACATAAGGAAGAAAATCTGGGGCAATCTAAACTCAATCTCCCCCCCAAATCAGCTCGTGAGAAACCCACTTTTCTAGTATAAGAGATGCTACTGAAAAGGAAATTGTTGAAACAATCCAAAACAGAAAAACTCACCTTTCATGGAAATGTAGAAATCGTGTCGAGAGGGAATTTTCTGAATCTCGAGCTCACGAACACTTTCATTCAAACTCAAGACGACGCCGATCTGGGAGATTGAAGGTATATTTCGAATATTTTTCGTCTGATTTGAAGTAGCCAATGCTATTTTCATTGAACAGAAGCTTAATTTCCAACAATGGCGGCTTGGGTGTATTTTTTTTTTAGTCAATCCGTTTTTTGTAGTATTAATTGAGGTATTTTTTTGGTAATTTGCAGCAAAATGTCGAAAATTATGGTGTTTTTGCACTACAATGGAGAGTGGTGTAACAACACTTACATTGATTTTGAAGTTGGGGGAATATCTATGAATCAAAATTGTTGTTTCACTGATTTCACCAAGCAAGTTGCAGATTTACTGAAGATAAACCACATGGAAACAAGTTTGAGTTTGAAGTATCAGGTACGAGATGGATATCCTGCCATTAAAATTGATGATGATCAAAGTCTTGGATTCTACATGGATTTGAAGTCAAGGGAGGTTGATTACACTAAGTTTCCAGTATGTGTGATTAAGGAACAAATAAATACCTTGGTTCCTGTTCCACTCCTCATCAGTGCCGATCACAGCGAAGTTGCAGGGAATGAGGGCATTGTTGCTGCTTTGGACTTTGATCTTGACTATGAGGATTCAAAGTATATGAATTTTATGGATTTTGCAAGGGAAGCTGCCGAAGCTATGTCGTTAGCTGCATCAAGTGTTGAACAACAACAGATCACATACGGAGCTGTTGATAAGACATCAGGTAATGCGGTCGAAGTAATGCACAATCCATCAATTGGACATTCATTCCCCAGCAAAACTAGTCTGCAGAAAATGCTTGCGTTATATGCAATCAAGCACCAGTT